GTGCCTAAGGCATTTGACTGCTAACCAGAAGGCTTACGGTTCAAACCCACCAGCCATTCCTTGGAAGGAAGATTGGGCAATCTACTTCCATAGTGATACTGCCTTGGAAACCCAAGGAGGGTTCACTATGAGTCAGGATCAACTCGATGGCAGCATTATCACTACAGAGTTGACTGCCCAATCTTCCTTCCGAGGAGTGGCTGGTGGATTTCAACCGCCAGCCTTCTGTTAGCAGTCAGATGCCTTAGGCACCATGCTATCAGAGCTCGGAAACCCAGGGAAGGGTCGCTGTGAGTCAGGACCGACTCAATGGCAGTGAGTTTTGGTTTTTTTTTTTTTTGGTACTGCAGTCTGTTGAGTGTGCAATAATATTATGAAAAAGTTTGAAGCACTGTTAGAATCACCAAAATGTGGCACAGGGACACGAAGTGAGTACATACTGTTGGAAAAATGGCACCAATAGGCTTGCTTGACACAGGACTGCCATAAACCCTCAATTTGTAAAAAACAGAGTATCTGTGAAACACAGTAAAGTGAAGCACAATGAAACAAGGTATGCCTGTATACCACAACCTACTGGCATGGCTAAGTGACTACCTCATTTCACACCATGGAAAGCACTCAATTGCTGAACAATAATTTGTTTTAAGGTGGTTAAATTCTTAAATAAATTTAAAGTCTTGTGGGGAAAAAACTTCACAGCTAACTAGATTTATTTCTGACCTAGCTTAGACCCAAAACATCTTCTCTCAGCCATCTCTCCCCCAAGTAACCAGTACAAAGAGAAGGAATTTGAGGATTACATGTGATCTAGCCCTCCAAGTATTATGTGGTCTCCTTGGGTACTTAATAAGTGAAGACATTCATGGTGATCCAACTGCTATAATATAGTTAGCTGCCTGGGAGTCACCAAAACGTTGTTCAGCAGCAGGCTCTACAGATTGCTTCTAAAACTAGAGTGATGTTTTTATAATTTACCCCCCCTTTCAACATCCCAGTTTGTTTAGAAATAGGCCAGGACACATCTGAAAAGTCCATTTGGTCTCTCCCGTGAGGTTACTGCCAGTGACAAGGAAACTGGAGTAAATGCTCAAAGTCTTCTTTGTGGAACAGAAATAAAAGAGTTAAGGTAGACACAGTATGAGAGGCTTAGAGCTAATTCTTGCAGCTTTCAGTTAACCATTATGGAGGTGTTTTTTTTTGTTGTTGTTGTTTGTAAATACTGTTGCAAATGAATTACTGTATTACTATTTTTTTTGCATGTGCACATAAATAACATGCATACACATAACAGGCAGAAATTATGAAATTACATTAAAAAGTTCCGGTATAGAGCACCTATCCATATACTGCGCATGTCTGTGACATTTGCAGAAGTGAATTTTCGTCTCACTCACTCTCATTCAATAATCTGGAAATGTTACTTTTAAGCATACTTGTACAATGAAGGTACATGCCACGGTCAAGGATCATGTTTGGTAGTACCCTAGTAACTGGAAGATAAACAACTGAAACTATGCATTTGCTCTGGGGCAGTATGCAGCCAGGCCTAGGCCTGAGAACAATGCAGTTCCTTGTAGCCAATTCTGTGCCCAGTAATATTGTGCTGGCGACAGGCAGAGGGTCAAGTGGAGGACTGCACGGAGGGCTGCCATAGCCTGAGCGTTGGCTGTTCCACATCAGTCAGGGGCTGTTGCCTGCATATGCCCAGGTCCTGTGGTGATGACCCCAAGTGAAGCCGGGCAGCAGGACAGTGTGGGTGTGTACTGCCAAGGCTCTGCGGGGTCCCAGGTGGTCAGTTGGACCCGTTTTGTCCAAGCAAGAGATGTGTGGGCCCTTGGTGCCTGTGACTCTCACGCTTGCCCCACAGCATCACCTTGGGTATGAGATTCAAATGGCCTGAGCAGAGTGGCTGGCTAGCTGGATGGTGGGGTGGCATATGTGTGACTGCAGCATGCCAGCCTCTCCCGCCTGAGGCCCCTCTAGTCTGGGGTGCACAGACCTGCATGCCTCCTGGGCTAAGGCCAGTTGCCCTAGCCAGGGCTGTGTCTGGGTTGTAAAAAGTGATTTCTTTCTGCATTGGAGAAAGTAGTTTGCAGAACTGGGATGGAATCCTGCCAGGAGAGGGGCTCCGATAGAAACTCGAGGGTAGGCAGGTGAAGGCCTGCTTCTAGGAGCCAAACATCTGTGCCAGCAGATTTAATATTAAATCCATTGGTCAGAAAAACAAAAACAAAACAAAAAAAAAACTAAAATTAAAGTCAGCAACACATAAAAAAAATATTGGTGTAGTGTGCTTATGAAAATAACACATGAGTATTGAGCAGTGTGCATAAGTGTATATAACATGTACATAACATGCATAAAAATACAGTATATGGTCACATTGGTCTCATTTGGTTTTATGGTCAGACTGCAAAATGCAAGCTTAGAACATATGAAACAAGTGAGTTACAATTTACCTCCTTCTAGAATGCCTGCAATAATCAGACAACTGCGTATCCTATTCTCAAGGTTACCACCACCACCACAGTTGCTGTAGAGTTGACACCAAGTCAAGGTGATCCCATGTGTGTGAAAATATAAATATGTTTTAGAGGGTTTCCTTCCAATGGCTGATTTTTTTTAGAAGCAGATTGCCAGGCCTTTCTTCCAAGCTGCCTCTGGGTAGACTTGAATCTCTAAACTTTGGATTAGCATCTAAGCATGTTAACCATTTACATGACCCAGGGACTCCAGGAAGTCATGTTTTAATCTTCAAATGATCATTTTGTTTTTTCTACTTGCTCTTTGCTAGTGTTAGGACCAAATCTAAGAATTTAAAAAGTATGAGTCAGGGCTGACTCGATGGCACATAACAACAACAACAACAACATAATTTACCATGGTAATCTGCATCTATCACCACAGTATGACTCTTCTTTTCTATGTATACAAACTGAGCTTGAGGAAATCTTTTTGGTAGATCCTATTTGACTGTTTAATCCATTGACAATAAAATGGGACCTCACCCTAACTGCTGTAGTTAGGGGCCATTGAGTTGACTGCAACTCTTAGTGATACCTGTGATGGGGCAGAACTGACCCAAAGGGTTTTTGAGGATGGCAAGACTTTGTCTCGCTTACTTTGGACATGTTATCAGGGGGCACCAATCCCTAGACAAGGCGATCATACTTGGTAAAGTAGAGGGTCAGTGAAAAAGAAGAAGACCTTCAACCTGATAGACTGATGCAGTGGCTGCAAAAATGGGCTCAAACATACCTACTATTGCAAGGAAGGCACAAGACCTGGCAAGTTTTCTCTCTGTTACACATAACGTCAGTATGAGTCGGAACCGACTCTACAGCACAAGAACAATCTTTATGGGAGGAGATCACCAGGTTTCTCCCACTGTGTCAGTAATGGGTCTGAACTGCTGAGCCTATGCACCACCAAGGCTCTTTTCCACACTTTTCCTAAATGCCGGAAGGCTTGGCATAAGCTGTCCCACATTAACTTTTACAAGACCATTCATTGGGTGATGAAGTCTCATCAAAAGTAAACTTAGTACAATGTCCAAAGAATGATAAATGAAACTTCTGGGCACTAGGAGAAAACTCTTCCAGCACAGACAATACTTAAATAATTTTCTCTCTGAATTTAATTAGCCAAGTTTGATGGTTTCATTCACAACATTTAAGGAATTAAAAAAGGTGGCTTATGATATGATGATTATGGTGAACTGCCCTCGAGTCGTTTTGGACTCATAGAGACCACTCCTTGGGTTTCCGAGGCAGTATCTCTAGGGAAGTACATTGCCCAACCTTCCTTCCCAGGAGCAGCTGGTGGGTTTGAACCACCAGCCTTCTGGTTAGCAGTCAAATGCCTTAGGCACTATGCCACCAGAGCTCCCATTGCTTATGATATAGCGGGAAATATAACAACTTTTATATACCATTCTTGCTTAGTATACAGAAACAGTTAAGCTCTCCCTTCTTGCCAGCGCCCTCATGTAGCAGAAATCTACATTTCCTCAATTAACACCTGAAATGGTTGCGGGAACGCAAAGGCTCTTCAGAATCTGTTTGTGATGCCAAAAATTTTTACCTTACTAATGATCTAAGTGATGAATTTTTTGAATATCAAATGTTTTGGTAGTATACTTCTGTGTTCTCTTCTTTTCCCTCCTCCACTATATTTGTTGCCTGTTAGCTCCTGACACTTCCTTTTTCACCTTTGATGTTCCTGCTATACCTCCCAAATGGCAGAAATCTAGGGTGTAACTGATCACATTTCTAGCAACGTTTTCTCATCCCAGTTTTCCGCTCTCTAATGGGAGGACGATGACCAAGTGCAGCGCAAAGATAGCCTATTTAGATTTTGCAAGCAAAGTACGTGCGTGGGAAAGTCTCCTCGTCTTTTGTCTATTTAACTAACAGCGCTGTCATGCCCAGACTCAAGATATTGGCCAACCCCTACGTTTCC